CGAACCAAGGAAGCCAGCTGAGAGCGGAGCGGAGCGGAGCGGAGGCGCCGGCTCCGGGCACCAGGAGTGCCCGTGCCCTGTGGGCAAGGCGCAAGAGGCCGTGGCCTCAGACCGTGTGGGTGCTGAAACTCTGGATGACAGAGTTCACGAACCAGAACAAATAGAGCGTGCGGGAGGAATAGGGCAGCAACCAGCACAACTAGAATGTGTGGACGAAGTAGTACACGAGCCGGCGCAAATAGAAGCCAGCTGAGAGGTCAAGGTTGGAGGCGGGGCCATCGCCGGGGCCCAGCGCAGAGCGCTCACCCGCAGAGCGCTCACCCGCAGAGCACGCCACAGGGCGGGGAAGCAAAGATCATCACCTGCTCGACACATCGGGGGCGGCAAAGAGGGGGGTTCGGGTCGGGCGAAAGGGAGGGATAGCAAAGGGGGGGGTTGAGAATCAGCTCACGTAGCTGATTTTCCCGGCGCCTCCCGGCGCCGGGGGCGGCTATGTATCGAGGAATGGCCCCCTCGGTGAGGCCGAAACCAGCTGCATGCAGCAAATTTCGTAACCCCCCCTTTCCCAATCCCCCCCTTTCGCCCGGCCCGAGGGGTGACGAAGAGGGGGGGAGGTACTATGGCTCGAGGCATGTGCTGCGCACAGCTCGCAGGGCTACGCACGCGCGAGCGCAATCGGACATCATAGAAGCCCGCTGACCGCCAGAACCATCGGTTCAGAACCGAAGCCAGCCTGCCAGATTGCGGCCCAGTCGCAAGCAACGCGAACGCACGCCAATCGCAACACAACCAGAGGCCAGTCGCTGCGAACTGAATTCAAAACACGCGCGCATCGATCAACGCCGTCGGAAGCACCCATAAGTAGATGGGATCCACATTCCAAACGACCATCCGGATGCCGAGATAAACCCTTAAGCTCCTGGATCCTGAGGGAGACCCAGAGGAGAACACGCCCAAAGAAAACCAGCCTATACTTCCGAGTGGCCAACAGGATTTCGAACACTCACCTCCTTGCCAGCTTATACTTCCGAGCGGAGCTAGTGCCACAGGCATACGCACGACAGGTACTACGGGAAAGCGACCCGTACCCTACGCCGCAAGCATACGCGGCACTCCTACCCCCGCCGCCGCCCAACGATCAGGACGACGCCTGCCTACCCGCCCCATATCCACCAGCACAACACGAGCGATATCCAACGTGCATGTTCCTTGCCGAACAGTACACAGGCACGGTTGCGCAGACGCTGCCATCGGCCATACGTCGGTCAGAATATGCCATTCTCAACCGATTATGTGGACGCCGACAACCAGGGGACAGCAAGGCGTCACTCGAGCGGACTGAATACAACACAGATGTTTCGGTCAGTGTCTGTCGATCGACATCTCTATCGACCCTGTACTCGGTAACATGATGCGTCGTGGGTCGCTGGAGGTGTCGAAGGAACGCAATTGTGCCCGACGGGTTGTGCTGTCAGGTGGGGGCCGGTTGGTGGGTGGGGGGGGGCCTACGAGACGTGATCAGCAATCCGATGGGCCCCCAGCACAGGGCCCCCACCGCTCCGCTACAACGATGACTTCTGGGGCCGCCTCGCCGTGACTCCACGACCAGATAGAGCAGCTCAGGGCAGGGAATGAGCTGTTAGGAGCCATGGTCGAACTGTTCGCAGCACACCTGCCCGTCGGGACCAGTTCTTGGGTGGAGCACCCAGTGCCGGCGACTTGGCGCGCAGAGGCAGTCAGCTCGTCCCTCTGCCCCTCGCTCAGAGCAGCGATGGCCTCGCCTGCTGCAACAACTACCGACTCTGATCAGTGCGGGCACGGCCAGGCAGCACGAGCACCTACACGCATCCTGGCACTCCGCACGGGCACACTGCATGACGGGCTCTGCGAGACCCCAGGAAGAGGACGTTGCTCACACAGCCGTGGGGCTCCTGAGGTGCTCGTGGGGTTCGGCAGGGCTCGGAAGGAGTGGCGTACGGCCATAGAAGAAGACCTACCCACCAGCGGTGTGCCAGGTGTTAGCGGACGGCATCAGGGACGCAGTCAACCACATGCATGTTGTCGTGTGAAGGCGGGATGCGGCCAGAGAACATGAGGGAGGAGGAGGAGGAGGAGCTCTGTGGGTCGCTTAGGACTTTTTGCGTCGAATGGGACCCATGCCTCGGGACAGAGGAGACCTGGGCCCCAGACTTTGCTTCCCCTTGAGCAGGAAGGGTCCGAGCGGACCCCGAACGGCACAGGTGTTTACCGCCTGAGCCGACGGAGGCAGAAGGTCCGCCAGAGCCAGGGATCGTTTTCGACCCCGAGGCGTCACTTCGGGACCCAGGCACAGTGGAGGCTACAGATGAGCACGAGTATGCAGAAGTGCTGGCCTTCATCGAAGGCACTAGTATACCGATGCCAGAAGACACAGAGCACCCTTGTCCCTGCCCTCCCTCCCCTCTCGTGCCACCTCCTCCCCCACAGCCAGTCGAGCTCACCGAAGCTATGCGCCAGAGTACTGCAGCCAAGCGAGCGCAGGCCAGGGAGCATGACAGGCTGTGTCTTGCCGAGAGAATAGCCCCTTGGACGTTGCAGCACGAGTTCGGTATTGGGCTGTCTGACCAAGCGCGTGACTAATCACTAATCAGCTTCGCGGGAAGGTAGGTCAGTTACGGAGCGGGGTGAAGGATTGGAGCATCAGCACGTGTGCGCAGTTTGCCAGCCTCGCCCATACACATTAGTCAGTCAGACCACTTGCCCCCTCCCACTCTCCATGGCCGTTGGGCCCTTTGTGCGAGACCGTTCCGTGCCCCCCCTTCTTTTTCGCTTCCCAGGTGTCGGTCCTTCCTCTGCCAGGGGTAGAAGCAGAGACCGTGCGAGACCGACCTCGGACTTTTGACAGTGGCCAAGGCCACCTGCTCGCGAGACGGGCGAGCTAATGACAAGGAGGGAGGTGGAGTATCTGGGTCTGTGGTTTAGAGCAGCAGCAAATGTGCGCAAGCAAGTCCGGCCACTTGCCTTTCCCGCTCTCCATGGCCGCTGGGGCCATTGTGCGAGTTCTTCCCGGTCCCTCTCTCGCTGCCCAAATCTCGCTCCCCCCTCTGCCGGAGATCGATGCAGAGATCGTGTGTGACCTACCTTGAATTTTCGACGATGGACACCACCAGCTCGCCAGACGCGTACGGCAGGTCCGTGTCGTGCCGACTCCGGCGTTGGTTTCTGACACCGCGGGGATCGTTCAATCTTGAACGATCGGCCGCTGCCGCAACGTCCGATCGTTCAACATCGATCGATTCTGGGTCGCCGGCGGCGTTCAACCTTGAACGTCCGCGCTGGGGTCGCCGCTGGTCGACACGACGCAAACCTACCGTAAGCTACTGCCAGGGAGGGAAGTCGGAGTGGGCCAGGTTGGGAACTGGGAGCGACGAGTGGCGCGGCGGAGTAGCAGCGAGCGCTCCCGCATGCGGCCGAAGCCCACCCGCGCCGAGCACGGCGGGTGCCCTCGGATAGGAAGGCACCAACTATACACCAACACCGATCCTGGCCAGGATCACCCTGGGCCCAGGATCGGTGTATACGCCCTCCTGCCTTGCGCAAGAAGGCATATACACCGATCCTGGGCCCAGGATGATCCTGGGCCAGGATCGGTGTTGGTGTATAGTTGGTGCCCTCCGATCGGAGGAGAGTCGAGCGGCCGACGATGTTAGTTTCGGGCCTTTAGGGGTCACACGTCGCCAAGTTTTGCCGTTCAGGTCAGAGCGCGGCTTGTGCAGTCCATCCCCCCCCGCCCGCCAGGTATCGTGCCTCCGCCCGCTGGGAAGAGGAGCTGAGGCGCAGAGGCAGAGGAGAGCAGAGCTACTCGCTTAGTTTGGACATGTTGTCTGGTTATCCGTGCACGCATGTCGAGCGTGCTCCTCTAACCCTTGCTGTGTACAGCCTTGGTTGAGCTGGCTTGGCGATCAGGGCCGCGTCTCCAGCATCGGTCCAGGACCACCCCGCGTTTCTATGCCGCTGCCGCTGACCCGACCACGGTTGAAAGTTTTACTGTGCACTGATCTTTAACCTTAGGTGCCCGTGCAGAGTTTTCGAAGCTCGACGTTCAGTACAGCTGCTGACTGTGCTGAATTGTCTCTGCAAGCTGCGTGCCATCATTTGCTGACAGATTATATGCTTCAACAGCGTCGCAATTCAAATCCCCTCCCTCTCCACCTCCCCTCCCGTCCATCCTCCAATCCCTCCCCTTCCCTCCCCCCTCGCTCCCGTGCTCTGCCACATATGCTGCTCCTCCCCGCCAAGGGGCGAGCGAGCATCGGCCTGACATGACCATCTCGTTGAGCTCCTGGTTGCGAGCTCTCAGGTGCAGGTTCTCCTGCTGCAGAGATCGGTGCCTATCCTCGGGGATGGGGGCGAGGAGGAGGACAGGGTGGGAAGGAGGAGGAAGAGGAGGAGGAGGAGGAAAAGGAGGAGGAAGAGGAGGAGGAGGGAGGAGGAAGAGGAAAGAGGAGGAGGAGGAGGAGGAGGAGAAGGAGGAAGAGGAGGAGGATGAAAAGGATGAGGATGAGGGCTTCGCTCCGACAAGAGGACCCAGTCCGCAGCCTTGAGCCTCGAGGAGGGGAAGGGCAGTGGAGGGGGTCTAGTGGTTCGTCGAAGTTTCCAGGGGATCCAGGGGGTAGTGGGATTGCAGAGGGGATCTGGAGTCTTGACAGACGGCACGGTGAGAAGGGAGGCGGACCGAAATAAAACGAGGCCAGCCATCATCGACAGCACAAGCATGCGATATAATGCGAGTGGCTAGTTCCTCCCGACTATCCGGCAGAGTGTCCCCACGTGTGCATGCGCACGCGCACACTTGCATCAGCAGCAGCAGCAGGATAAGCAAGAGGAGAAGCAGGAGGAGGAGGAGGAGGAGAAGTAGGAGGAGGAGGAAGAAGAGATGGGGGGAGGGAGATGGGGAGCGGGGGAGGAGGAGGGGAGAGGAGAGTCGGCAGGAAGAGAGCTTGCCGCGCGAGCGAATTGTCCTTGAGCTCCTTGTGGCGCTTGGCCATGTTCGTCATTGCAGCCTGCAGCTGTTCGTCTCCCTCATCCTTCTCCACCTCCTCTTCCTCCTCCTCCCTCCTCCTCCTCCTCCTCCTCCTCCTCCTCCTCCTCCTCCTCCTCCTCCTCCTCCTCCTCCTCCTCCTCCTCCTCCTCCTACTCATCATCAGCATCAGCATCAGCATCAGCATCAGCATCAGCATCATTATCATCATCACCACCATCAGCCTCAGCATAATCAGCATAATCAGCATCATCATCATCATCATCATCATCATCATCAGCATCATCATCATGATGATCATCATCATCATCATCATCATCATCATCATCATCATCATCATCATCATCATCATCATCATCATCATCATCATCATCATCATCATCATCATCATCATCATCATCATCATCATCATCATTATCCTCATTATCCTCATCATCATCATCAGCATCCTCATCATCATCACCATCATCATCATCACTGTCAGCATCAGCATACTCAGCTTCATGTTCATGATCATCATCATCATCATCATCATCATCATCGTCATCATCATCATCATCATCAGAATCATCATAATCATAATCAGCATCATCATCAGTAGCATAATCATCGCCATCGTCATCATCATCACCATCATCATCACCATCAGCATCATCATCACCATCCTCATCCTCCTCCTCCTCTTCATCACCACCACCACCAACAACAACAAAAGCAACAACAACATCAACAACAACAACAACAACAACAACAACAACCACAACAACAACAACAACAACAACAACAATGACAATAACGACAAAAACAACGACAACAACAACAGCAACAAGGTTACAACACCAGCTGCAGGCCGCATCCAACGAGCCAGCCCTTGCAGGGGGGTGCAAGGCCTGGTTGCGGGCCCCATGGGGAGGGCGAGTAACGAGCAACGGGCAACGCACCTTGCCGTTGCAGCCCTTTGTACTTTAAGCAATGCAGGTGCTCCCACTGACGATTCCAACCTACAAAGGAGGTGGCTACCACGGAAGCCAGGAAGCCTTCATACATATTCCTTTGTGAGAATCCCTGAATGAGGAATGCCTAGAAGGAAACCCTCAGTGTGGAACCCTTAATGTTTGACAATCCTTGATGAACCGTTCTTGAAAAAGGTACTAAGGCACCCCTACTAAGGAATCCGGACGAAGGACTTCCTACTGTGCAACTCAATACGGAGTCTAAATATGTAACGGCTTACTCTCCATGAGGAGTCTTTAATAAAGGCTATTTGGTGAAGAACCCGTAGTAAGGAATTAGTTATACGTGGGGAACCATTAAAATGGAATCCCTATTAAGAGAAAACCTTGCTGAGGCATTACGTGTAGGCGATCCTTACTAAGGCACTCCTTCTTCGTTGGGACTCAATACGCAAGAAGCTTTATGAAGCTTGTCAATCAGGAACCCTTACACCTGAATCCTTACTACGGGGACCTTAATGAGAAATCTGTGATGAGGCATCCAGAATGAGGAGTCACCAGTCGGAAACCCTCAATAAGAAATCCTTGATGAGGAATGAAAAGAGCTCAAATTAAGAAATCCAAAATGAAAAACTGTTGGCGAGGAGTCCTTACTAAGGAACCCTGAACCATGAATCCGTGCGACTGACCCCTTACTTATAAACCCCCAATTCGGAGGAATAGGTATTGAAGGATCTCTCCATCAGGAGCCCTTGATAACGAGCTTTGAGCGAAGAACCCTTAGCAATTAATCCTTCATGGAATCCATAATCAGAAATCCTGAATAAGAGCTCTTTGCTGAGGAATTCCCAGACAAGGAAGGAACTCTTATTCAAGAATCCTTTTAATTCGGACTCCTAACTGGGAAATCCGGAATCAAGCCCCTTGCATTGGGAATCCTTCGTGGGACACCCTTGGCAAGGATTCCGTGGTGCGGAACCCTTCATAAAGAATCCTCGTTCAGAAATCCTGAATGGGGACCTCTCGGTAAACATCCTTACTAAGGCACCCCTACCACGAAATCCTTAGTAAGGCACCCCTGCTAAAAAGGCATTACTACGGCACCATTGCTACTAAACCCTTTCTCACTAAGGAACCCGACGAAGGAGTCTTTGAATATGAATATGTTATGAAAGATTCCCCATGTGGTGCCCTGAACAAGGGGTCCGTACTGAGAAATCCACAGCAAGGAACCCTTCGTAAGGAACCGTATAAAGAAATCCATGTTAAAAACCAATCCTGCTGAGTTTTCAATCAGGAACCTGTACTAAGGAACCCTTCAGAAGGACCCCTTATTGAGGCATCCTGTGATAATGGATCCTTCGTAAGAAACCCTTAGGAGAGAACCCTTCTTACGAAGTCCTTGGCAAGGCGTCCTTTATCAGGCACTTTAGGGGGTAAGTCCTTCGTAGAGAATCCGCACCGAAGAATCCTTAATGAGGAATAAATAGTCAGCACTCCTTCTAAGGACCCCATTGAAAAACCATCCTGGCGAAGGGCCCGGTCATCTGCAGTTGTGAGTATCGCCGTTGTGGGCATCGCCTTCGGTGATCTCTGGATGGGGCCACGAAGCATGTAAAGGGTGTGCCAAAATGGGGCGGGGACGCATGCGGGCGCAGCCATTGCGGCCTTCGGGGGCGCTCCCTATGGGGCCACGGAGCGTGTGAGGGGTGTTCCGAAATGAGAGGCCGCCATGCGAACGTCGCCACTGGGGCCTCCAGTGGGGCTCCCCATGTGGCCACGAAACGTTGTACTGGGTGGGGGAAACGCATGCGGGCACCGCCACTAGTGCCTTCGGTGGGGCTCCCTATGGGGCCACGAAACATTGTACTGGGCGGGGGGAACGCATGCGGACACCGCCGCTGTGGCCTCCGGTGGGGCCCGGTTATGGGGCCACGAAACGCTATACTGGGTGGGGGGGCATTCGGGCACCCCCACTGAGGTCATCGGTGGAGCTCCTATGGGGCCACGAAACGCTGTACTGGGTGGGGGGGACGCACGCGGGCACCCCCACTGAGGTCATCGGTGGAGCTCCTATGGGGCCACGAAACGCTGTGCGGGGAGGGGGGGCGCATGCGGGCACCCCCACTGAGGTCATCGGTGGAGCTCCCTATGGGGCCACGAATCGCTGTGCGGGGAGGGGGGGGCGCATGCGGGCACCCCCACTGAGGTCATCGGTGGAGCTCCCTATGGGGCCACGAAACGCTGTGCTGGGTGGGGGAAACGCAGGGAGGAGGGAGGAGGGGGAGGAGGGGGAGGAGGGGAGAGGAGAGCAGGAACGCGGGGACCGTCTCTTCAAAACGAGAACCCAACACCATAGGATGGTTGGGAACTAAAACGAAATCCTTCATGAGGGATATTCAAACAGGAAACAGCAATAAGGGATCATTGATAAAGAATTCTTCATGAGACATTTGTCATAAAGGGTACGTCCCAAGGAATCCAGGAATCATTGACAAGGAATCCTTGGTGAGGAATCCTTGGTAAGGAGTCTGAAAGAAGGAATCCTTAGCAGCGACTCCTTGACAAGGAACCCTTAATGAGGAATCATCAATGAAGAATTCGTATAAGGAGTCCTTGACAAGGAATCCACTCTCCCCGAACAGTGTTTGCACTGAGGCGTTCTCGCTTGTGGTCGAAGTCTTAGACTCTAAGAAATCGGGCCTGTGTGCCCGTCTGGCGGCTCCGTGTTCGCCATCGCCGCGCTGTCGCCGCCTCGTCGTCGCCCGCAGTTTGGGCCTGTCTGCCGGTCTGACGGTTCTGTGATCGCCGTCGCCGCCCCATCGCCGCCTCGTCGCCGCAACAGACTTCGCACAGCAGATATTGCTCCGCATCGATTGCACCACAAAACCTGCGCCACATCAACAACACCACGTTGATGCTCTCTTCTGAGAGAACATTGGGGTCAAGGGACCCGGCAGGCGGTGGATGTGAGAAGGATTGCAAAAAAAACGAAGGATTGCAAAAAGAAGGATTGCAAAAAAACCCAGGATTGCAAAAGATTGCAAAAAAAACCAAGGATTGCAAAAAAAAACCAAGGATTGCAAAAAAAAACTCCAGGGTCTTTTTGCAATCCAGGTTTTTTTTTTGCAATCCTTCGTTTTGCAATCCTTCGGTTTTTTTTTGCAATCCTTCGATCCTCCGGGCGGTGGTGATGTAGAAATCCCCGCCTCGGAGAGGAGGAGGAGGAGGAGGACGAGGGGGAGGAATAGGACGAGGGGGAGGAGGAACAGCAGGAGGAACAGCAGGAGGAGGAGGAGGAGGAGGAGGAGGAGGAGAGGTGGCGAAGGCCAAGCGCTCCAGGCATCGGGCCGCGACCCGCGGAAGGAGGCAGCCACGAGCTTCTGGCACCATTGCCGCGCCCCGCGGAGAGGGCCGCCGCTGACCCCTCGGGCACCAGGCCGCGAGCGAGACGACGACGGCCAGGAGCTTCGGGCGCCAGGATTGCAAAAAAAAAAAGAGGATTGCAAAAAAACGAAGGATTGCAAAAAAAATGATTGCAAAAAAAGAATTGCTAAAAGGATTGCAAAAAAAACCTGGATTGCAAAAAAAACCTAGGGATTGCAAAAAAAACCTAGGGTTTTTTTTTGCAACCCTAGGGTTTTTTTGCAATCCTAGGGTTTTTTTGCAATCCTGGGTTTTTTTGCAATCCTTCGGGCGCGAACGTGGCGACGAAGACCATGTGTGACAGGCACCAGACTTGGAGGCGGCCTTGGGGTCTGAGCCGAGAAAAGAAAGGAAGAGAAGACGCCACAAACATAAGCTGTTGGCGCTCCGCGCGTATTTCCTGGACCTGCGCTGGACCCCCTCCCTGGCGCGCGGAGCGCACCAGGGGCGGCGCCGGAGGCGCCGCCGGGGGGGGGGGGGCCCAGCGCGGAGCCAAGAAATCCGCGAGCGCCACA